AGACGGGGCCGTCATAACCGTACGTGTACCGGAGCACGTTACAAAGCACAGCCAAATTCTCGTTTGGGAAAATTTCACTGTAGGACCGCACAAGACAATTAATCTCAAAGAGCCCCCAAAACTTTCTGAAATCTCTTGCAGGACCAAGGGGCCAATCTGATATTAATTCCACAAACGAAATGACGCCACTACCCTTAGCATCAGGTGAACCAGTCCACATGTGAACGGACTGATTCCACGTGTGAATATATGTATTTATTCTGCAAATTGGCTAGTTCCCCTTGCAAATGCGCTCTCCCGCACTTGTTTCCTCACGGACGCATGCATCAGGTGAACCAGTCCACATGTGAACGGACTGATTCCACGTGTGAATATATGTATTTATTCTGCAAATTGGCTATAGTTCCCCTTGCAAATGCGCTCCCGCACTTGTTCCCTCACGGACGCATGCATCAGGTGAACCAGTCCACATGTGAACGGACTGATTTCACGTGTGAATATATGTATTCATCTGCAATTAGCTAGTTTCCCTTGCAAATGCACTCTCCCGCACTTGTTCCCTCACGGACGCATTCATCAGGTGAACCAGTCCACATGTGAACGGACTGATTCCACGTGTGAACATATGTATTTATTCTGCAAATTGGCTAGTTCTCCTTGCAAACACTCTCCCGCACTTGTTCCCTCCTACTAGGGGCAGTGGCATCATTTCGTTTGTGGAATTAATATCAGATTGGCCTCTTGGTCCTGCAGTGAGGTTTCAGAAAGTTTTGGGGGCTCTTTGAGATTAATTGTCTTCTACAGTCCTATAGTGAAATTTTCCCTTCTCGTTTATGTCCCACATCGGCTAAGGAAAAGGACGAGGATACAAAAGAGAGCCTAGACGTTAGTGGAAGCTCGTCTTTGCGCTTGGGCCAAGGACGCACCACTGAGGTTCTGACCGAGGCGCGTCGATTGCTGGTTGAAAACTATTTCCAAACCCCCTCTTGGGCCTGGGTTTGGCCCAGGCCTTTGAGAATTTCTGGAAGGGCTCCCTTTGGGGTAAAGCCCTTCGATTCCTTACTTCAAATTGTCTAATTCGTTCTTTGTCTTTGTTTGGGCCTAGTTAAATGGGCTGTTCGGGCCCATAGAGGGGTGGTAAGTTCTGAATGTCCATTGTACTTAATGAGGCCCATTTATAAATCGGCTTAAAATTTCAGGTAGAATCTAAAGGTACGTTGAAGGGTTGGGAGGAAATCAACCCCGCATGCTATCACTATAAAATATAAATCTATAAAGAAAGGAAATATTTTAGTTACGGCGAATGGGACCAGAAAAATTTACAGGAGGCGAATACCTGTATTCCATGTTAATATTAATAAAAAGTTAAGATTAATTTTACTTGAACAATAATAATAAATAAAAAGAAGAAGTGTACCGTTGACAAATAAGTATAAATAATTTTAATCTTATATCACCAAGAAATAAATATCTTTACCTTGACATACGAACAAGTGTTTATATTAGTTGTTGGCACTGGTTGGACGTTATTTGTGTTTTGTAATAAACACTTGCTTGTTTATTAACTTTAAATTTATAAAGTATGGAATGATTTATCTGAATTAATTGAATGGTATTTTTCACATGCCAACTTGAGCTGGATAAATGTAATTAAAATTCACCTTATGAATGCGTTTAATTTCTCAGAAAACAAGAGGCCATTACAATACCCAAAAGAAGAAAAAGATAAAAGAAACGAAAACAACGTGAAATAAAAACAAAAAGAAAGAATTAAAGAAAAACGTAATATTATTGTTTGATCGGCGTTTCCAAATAAAATATTCGAATGATTAATTTTGACATTCGACAGTTGAGAAGTACGCTAAAGCTTCTTTTTTTCTAAAAAATTTTTTTGGATACAGGTGATCGATGCCATCACTAAACATTTTAATCACATATTGTGATTCTAATTGTGTGCGTGTGAATGAATATAAATGCCTAGCGGTCATGAATCGGAGACGAACCAGCGGAACCTTGGGGGACAGGTGGACTTGTTGGCAACCCACCCAGTTTCCTCATCTTCATACCTGCAAGCACATCACCACACACGTTAAACCTCGTGATTGGAGTAAATTTCCATTATACCTAACTCGGATGCCTAAAATTTATACAAATTTGATACTGCCTTCGATCCTTATATTAAGGCTTAGCTAGCTAATTTTAAAAAAAATTAAAAATAATTAATTATAATATATGTTATACGGTCTCTTTGAAATAATTATGTGTATTATTATATTGTATATCAGTTTACAAGCCAAGCAAATTAGTTTAAAGAAAAACAATAAATATAATATTTTAAATAATTTATTTCATTCTTTTAATCTCTCTAAATTAGTCAAATGAGTTTTATACGGACAACCGGAGATAGCACTGCATGTGTTTTTCCGGTTTCTAAATCCCAAAAACGCCCTTGAGTGTATCCAAATCAAAACAAAGAGTTAGTAACTACCCAGTATATATTCTGTGGTGGGACAAACAAAAGACAAACCTGAGGTAGCCTGGGCGGACTGAATGATAACAAGAATGGAGGCAGTGAACACAATCGATAATAGTATCACACATCGGTAAAGAGAAGACACAGCAGCCATGAATCTCGTCTTTATTAATTGGCAGGACGTTGTAATGCTTCTTGCTTCTTGGTGTTGCCTACCAATTTATAGAGCAATATCCGCCACATGATTGAAAGAGAATCTGGTTGGTTTAGTTGCGTATAATTTTCAACGTAATTAGCTGTGGAGGGACAAAACACGTAAAACGCAACATTAATTCAAAGGAAAATTAATTGATGATGAGGTGTGTTTAACGTCTGACTGCCTCAAAAATATGTATTTTACTTGGTCCAAATAACAACCACGGTCTTTTGCAGCTATCGAATTTGAATGTTACGAGTCAACCTAGAATTAAAATTACATATTTATGAGACGCATGGATATTGCCCAATCCAATTTTAATTTATACGCTCCAACGATGGCATAATGGATTTGGAGGGCATCTATTTGAGAGACTATCGAATATTAAATGTGAGCATCTTTCCTAACGAAGATTTGAATCTGGTGGGTTCGTCACATTGTGAGTAACTAGCTTCTTCTGCTAAACCCAACTCCTATTGGTGTGGTGTGATGATGATACGATAAAGTTTTTTTTTCTTGGACTACAAGAAAAAGGCAAAGCCCAATAAATCAATTAGCATGGCCTACAAATTAAAAATCTATTATTGGACAAATCTTGTTGCATAATATTTCTGCATTTGGTTATAGATTTCAACGTGATTTTTATTCTAGTGTGTGCTATATAAGCATAACGAGCAAGTCATTCAGTATGTTAATTTGTTATAAAAACATATACCCATATATAAGTTATCGCCCAATCTACGTCTTAAATGAGAGCTGAATGATTTCTGTCTTTAACTTTTAATATTTACAAATAGCAGCCTCCGTGAAATCAAAAAACAACCTAATCTCTCTGTAACCCAGCAAGGATCCAAACCTTTTTAGATACATTCCAAACACAGAGAGTGATTTTCCAATAATAAAATCAAAGAAAATGCCATGTTCATATTTGTATTGAGGGAAAATTAAAATATATATATTAAGCACTAGAGGTAGCATATTAAGATCAACGTTTATGAACAACCTGAGCACCTCTTATAATTTACCAGAGGGCAAGTTAGAAGGCTCGAGTCTTGGAAGCCAAAGGGGGGCTAATGACTAGAATGATTTCTTCAAGTATTGAGAATGGTTCAAACTTCAACTTATTTGTTATCAGAACTCATTTGATATGACTATATGAATCGCCTACAAAAGAATGTTGGCAAATAAAAAAAATCACTAGGAAAAATGATAAAAACAATATATGAGTGAGCTCGCACATCACACCAAAAAGAAGGGTGGGATCTGATTGATATTTAATTTCCTGCATTACATTAAATTACTAACAAGTAGAAGTTTATTAGCTATACCGAACCCTAGTTCGTACAAGTTGAAAAATAGTTTATTGCAATGTGGCTGTCTTTTACACATGTTTTCTTGGCGTACATACTATTTGTTCACATAGCTATCGGACCCATCGGAGGAGATCCCGCCGGTGGGGGTGGCGGACTTGGCAAGTCACCCAATTTCCTAATCCTCTTGGCCATCTCTGTGAAATGATCACCAAAACTCCCGTACACAATATTTAACGAGTTTACTTTCGGTGTCGCCTTTTCTGTGTAAAAGTTAAAAGAAGGAAAACAAAGTTATTCAACACAAAGATAGATTCGATCTGAACACAAACCGCCCTTGAGAATTTCTGGAAGGGCTCCCTTTTGGCTAAAAACCTACAATGTTTAGTTACCCTGTACTTGGTATAAGAAAATTGGAAACAAGAAAAGGGAGAAACAAATGCGATGAGTTTGATTTAAAAAATTAGAGAAGTTGGATTATAAAATTTTAATAAAGAGAATATCTAAGATAAAAGAATAAGAAAATCAATTAAAAGCTTTTAACCCCATTTTATCAAATTTTTAAATCAAGTTGGTTAAAATTTTTCCTCTCATCTCCTCCTCTCCATTTCCTTCATACCAAACGGATTAAAGACTACTCCCTCATGTTCTTAATATAGGAGAGCTAACTAGTCCCATTTATAAGTTTTAAATTTAGGGAGAGGTATGGCCTATTTTATAAGCTTCAATTTGAGTTCCAAAAAAAAGTTATAAATTTAAAGAAAAAGTGAATTAAAATCATGTATTTATGACCGAAATAAACTCTCAAACTAAATAGGAGTGGAGGGAGTATATCGTTTTACGTATAATAACATTGAATAAATTAGCACAAACCTGCGGTGACATGAATGGACTGCATGACAAGAAGAAGGGAGGCAATCATGAATACAAGCAGTATCAAAAAACGGTTCAGAGAGGCTACACCCATCGAACCTGCAATAAATAATGCTTTATCTAGTTTATATGCCTAGCCAGTGGCTTTGGATTTATATAGAGTTCGGATTTATTTTTTTAATAATTAATAGTTTTATAAAATAATAATTTTGAATTCGACAAGAATAGAATAATTAAGAGGAAGAAGAGAGGCGAAGAAAACGGGGGGAAATAATTCCAAATTATAGTCTTAGTTCAAACCCAATTGTTCATGCTTTCAAACAATGTTGGTCAAAAGAAAAAAAATTCAAACAAGCCAAGGAGTTTCTATTCATTTGCAGGTGGCGCCCTGAGGGAAACCAAAATATAAATAAATGAATTAGAATATTATAAGAAGAAAACTTGTTGTTGACATTGATTTCACTAGATCAAACCTTTATGCCCTAGGAAATTCTAATCTAAGATTTGAAGACCTAAGATACATATGCACAAGGAAATTATATATATATATATAGATATATATCAATATATGGTAAAATTAATCTAAGCCTTTTATTTTACCAGCTGAACACTTTTTTCTGCTCACCGTTTTTGATTTCGGTAATTTGTTTTAAATGACGGATTAAAGCTTTGAACATATCAAAACTATCTTAATTATACATTTCATATAAATCACCAAAAAAAATTGCATGTATTAATTTTTAAGTTTTTATGCGATTATTACCGTAAAATAAAAGGAACGCCGAAAGGGCATGCCAACTATATATGGAGCTTATTCAGATTAAAGTAAAAACTATATGTGGAACTTTTGCCCGATTTTATTGAAGACTTTAAATTTTTTGGGTCTGTCTTGTAAAATGAAATATTAATATTTGCGGAAACATTAAAGCAATTAACGTCAAGTCTATACATGTAGCGCACGTAACATTTGATCAACTTGACCAAAAAGACTGACTTTAGTTTTGATCCTCTAGATTTGAAAACTTCGTACAGAGGCCACCCTTTACCTCACTAAGTCATACACAACCGCGTTATATGAATTAGGATGTGCTTATACTCCTCCGATCATAAATATAAAATCATTATACTAGTATGTATAAGGGTCTTATATTTAAGACTAGAGTAGTACCACCCTAATTGTGTGTATGATGGTAAGTAGAGAACCCTAGCTAGACCTTCATCTCAACTCTCAAGTCCAGTCCATCCACCTCGATTTGTATTTTAATTCCATCTGTTCGTGTTCGTTTAGTTAACTTCGTTTTCGTCTTTCATCTGTATTGATCTTATTATATGTGTTCGATAAAATCAAGCAATTGAAATTCATCTTACATAAGTCTTTAAAATCTAGGAAGTTAAGGGTGAGTTCTATTAGGAACCCTAAACTGGAGGTAAATTAAAAAGGTGTTTGGATAAAATCAAACTATAATTTGGAGAATAGCTTTTAGAGAATAGATTCTTGGGAGAATAGATTTTGTGAAAAAGTAATTTTGATAAAGTGAGAGTGTTTGGATAATTATTATCAGAAGTGTTTTTTATATATGCTAATTACTAAAAAATACATAAATTAATATGATAATTACATAAAAGATGAATTTTATAATATATTTTAATTTGAAGGAATAAAATTGTTAATAATATATTTTTTACCAACATAATTAATAACATATAAGATAATATAATTAATAAATAATTAATATGTGTGTATATATTTATAAAATATAAGATTAAATATATTTATAAAAAATAATTGAGGAGTGTTAAAGTCATATTATGGTTGAGATCTATTCTAACAAGAACATTCATACTCTCCAATTTGAGCTAGAAGCAGAATGGATTCATTTTTTCTGAAACCATGGTTTTGACTCAAAACCATGGTTTGTTAATCTTGCCCCTTGTTTGGCAACTTTTTTACCCAAACCCCAAACTATGGTTTGGGATGTTACCCAAACAGGCCCTTAACTTAAGAAACTCGAAACTAAAGTCCTATTTGATTCGAAGTATTAAGAATAAGAGGTAAAGATTGGAATTGGGATTGTGATTGAAAAAGACCATTAAAAGAGTATTTAATATTAATAATTAGTTGTTACATAGGATTCAACAAACCCATAAAAATGAGATTGGAGAATATCACATATCTCCTTAGTATTCCGTAATGTCACTTATAAGAGGGAGTATTGCTTTTATGACTTAAAATTCAAATCCTAGTAATTACTTATACAGAAGACATGGGAGTATATATGTTTGAGGGAGTTGGCTTTGGAGATACAGATGAATAAATGTTTGACTTTTCTCTCGGTTGATTTGATGTCACTTATTGTATAACTCAGACTGTAGTATGATTCTACACAACATGTACATACTGAAAAATTTGTAGAATTCTAAGTATGCACTGAAATCCTTTAAACATGAAACACAATAATAAAGGAGAGGAATACAACTTTCTGAAGGTTCTATTGGCTAACACCCAACGCCTAGGAATATATTATTAATGAAGGTGTACGAGAGCAACGTTGATGATATTCCAATTTTTTCGGACAGATTTTGAGACCCTTCTCTCTCACCAATAGAATGTCAAATGCCATTACCCAGCGCCTTAAATCAGAATCCGGTGGACTGTTTAAGGGGTAAATTAGATGCTTTATTAAATAAAAAGAGGTACATCCGTACATGTGAAGACGTGGCCGTCATAACCGTACGTGTACTGGAGCACGTTACAGAGGACAGCCAAGTTCTCGTTTTATGTCCCACATCAGCTAATGACAGGGCGAGGGCTAGAGAATAGGTATAAAAGAGAGCCGAGAAGTACCTGGAAGCCCATCTTTGCGCTTGGGGCAATGACGCAGCTAGTGAGGTTCTAACCGAGGCGCGTCTATTGCTGGTTGAAAACTATTTCCAAACCCCCTCTTGGGCCTGGGTTAAACCCAGGCCTTGGAGAATTTCTGGAAGGGCTCCCTCTGGGGTAAAGTCCTACAATGTTCAGTTAAAGCTCCATGTGCTGTTTTTTCTAGGTGGTTAAATGGGGGCTCCTGTCATTTGGGTTTTTACCGGAATGGGTGTTTTTTTTGGGGGTTAAAGTAGAGGTATTCTTCTATTAGAAGCAATCATATTTGAGATATTATTGGACACTAAGTGTGAGCACCTCTTCCAACGGGGATTCGAATCTTAGTTCATCACGTTGTGGGAGACAAGTTTCTTTCGCTAAATCTAACCTCTATTGGTTATGGAATGAAATTTAATGTTCTTGTTGTCTCCCATTCCTGAGATTCCATGTTCTTTAGCCAAGGTCTTCTTTTGGGCCTCGGCAATTAGGCTGTTCGCCCCCATAGAATTACGTCCTGATGTCTATCTCCCTTCAGTTAATCGGGTCCATTTATGAATGAAATCATGTTCAGGTATTAAGGAAGTAAGATTAAGAAATTTAGATAAATTACTGATTTTCTCTGAACTAATTTGCTCAGGTAATACACATAAATATTTTAGAAAGATTAATACATATAAGTATTTTAGAGAGATTATATAATGTATGCTGTAATTAAGTATTACCTCTGGTTCTTAATTTAAGACTCAACTGACTGATTTTTAAAAAAATTAAGAAAGCTAATAAATTACTTCATTATAATTTATGTTACATGACTTCACTAGAACACCTATGTGCATCATTAGATTATATATCAGTTTATAAGTTAGGCAAATTAATTTTAAAAAAATAAATATAAATACTTTAAAATAATTTATTAACTTTTGTTAATCTTTCCAAATTAGTCAATTAGGTCTTATATTAGGAACCAAATGTAAAAAATTTTAATTTTTTTTAATTTTCTCAAATTAGTCAACTGATTTTTATACTAATAATGGGAATTAGTATGTTTTTTCTTCATTTATGTACTTAAAGTTTGTTTTCTGCTAGCAAAAAAAAAAAAGTTAATTTCCTTTTCCAATCAAATCTTACCATGTGATTTTAATTTTACCAAAATTTTAAAATTTTATTCACCACGTCAATTTTCTATTATTAAAAGAATTCATGTGCTAATATTTGATTGGATAAATTGAGTGAATACAAGCAAATGGATCCAAATTTTGTTTCTTATTTTATAAATATTATATATTCTGCTGGTGACGGTGAGCGCACACAATTATTTGGGTCTTATATGAAATTTTAATTTTTTTTAATTGAGCAGATTTTTCAGCATGTATAATTTCACACATAGAGGAGGAAAATGAAATTCTCTAATAACTGAAGATTTTTCAACATAGAATTGATGTGAGACAAGGTCGTTATTGTCACGGACACAAGATGTAACTTTCTCTTTTTTTATTTTTTGGTAGAATGAATATGATATCTATCTAGTGTGATGTATGGAATATATGACAAAGGTGGAGTGTTAGAGTATTTTTATTGATCGGTCATGTCATATAGGCCCGAGTCGGACATCCAATTGGTTCGATTTGAATTAGGGGAAGAGGGATCCACGGGCAATGAATGGGAAGATCGAAAAGTTGGAAGAAGAAAGAATTTTTTGGTTCGACGCATGGAATTAGCTAAGCATTTTATTCGAACAAATATAGAACCAGAATGGATGGTTTTATGTCTATTACCAGTTCTTCCTCCCGAATTGAGACCAATTATTCAAATAGGTGGGGGTACAGGAGATGTTGAGCACGGGACGCAACTGAAAACTGAGGGGCTTAACATTTGAATGGCCCAATATCCCTCCGTCCATACAATAAGGCTTTTGTGACTCAAATAAGACATGGGTCATGGAAAAGAAATGAGTACAACGGTGATGTCCAGTTTAGGTAACTTTGCCCAATTGGTGAGAGAGAAACTTTTGAGAAAAAGGTGGAAGCAATAAGGAGAAGAATCATCAGAAAACGGTAACGAAACAACACATAACTTCTGAAGGCTCCATTTGCTTTTCTTTACTAATGCATACCACCAGGAGAAGAATGAAGTTACAAGAGTAATTTTGATCATCTCCTAAGAGAACTTCAAATGCTATCAGCACCTCAAATCTGAATTTTATGTAGTAATTTTTAAAATGTAAATTGGATTAGACGCTGTGTTAGTTAAGACCATAATCACTAAGTTCGCGTTTTATGTCCCACATCGTCTAATAAATTGAACGAGAATGACGAGAATGCCTATAAAATGGAGATTCGTGGCAGAGTCATATTTATCTTTGCGCTTGGGGCAATGACGCAGCTAGTGAGGTTCTAACCGAGGCGCGTCTATTGCTGGTTGAAAACTATTTCCAAACCCCCTCTTGGGCCTGGGTTTGGCCCAGGCCTTTGAGAATTTCTGGAAGGGCTCCCTTTGGGGTAAAGCCCTACATTCCTCAGTTCAAGCTGTTTTTGATGCCTCTAAATCGTGATGGGGTCCATATAATGTTGGGCTTCATGTTCAAAAACCCTGGCCCAGTTAGTAGTAAACTATTGTAATTCCCACCCAAGACCTGCTTAGCGCCAGTGGATTAGCTTGCCGCCTGGCTGTCACGTTTAGAATTATGGTGAGCCTGATTTCTTCTTGCCTTCTCTTTTTTAAGAGCTGGAAACTTCGTTAATTCAATATGGAGCCATCGCCAAACTCAACATTTAATTGCATGCCTATTTGAAAATTTATTCATCTCCTCCATAAAATAACAAGATCTTGGCCCCGTTAATTTGGGACACATTTCCCAATAATACAAAGAGATTACTTGCGTGACAATGTAAGAGTAAATTTAATTCAGTTATATGTGTGTATGTGTGATGATAAATGTCTAGCGGCCATGGCGACGACCCGGAGACAAATGATGAGAGCCGATGGGTGCAGGAGGTGAATTTGGCAAATTACCCAGTTTCCTCATCTTCATATCTGCCCCGGGGGGGGGGGGGGAGGAATCACCACACACACAAAGTTAGGTGCCAAATTTGCAGATGGAGAGCATTGAGTGGTGTGGAAAACAGAACACAAACCTGAAGTAGCTTCAATGGACTGAACGATAACAAGAATGGAGGCAACGAACACTATCGATAATAGTATCACACATTGGTAAACAGGAGACATCCCCATTAATCTCCCCTTCTTAATTTCTCTGCTTTCTCAAATCATGGTCGCACATCCAGTTTATGTATATAAAATTTCGTTGATGTTTCTTCTTAATTTAGTGTAGCTGTGCTGAATTTTCAACATAATTTGGCCAAACACAATTGAGAGAGACAAGGTCCTTGTCATGGGCAAAACACGCAAGACCCAGTTGTCCCTTTGTCAACATACAATATGCAAACACTTTTCCATTAATAAAACTACACTTGTTTGTTTACTTTCAAACTAGGCATGGATCTTCTTCAAATAATCCAATTGGTTTTTTAAACGACGATGCTAGTGGACTTGGCAAAGCAGCCAGCACGTTTTCACACATACTGAGAATATAATAAAGCATGCTTCTAAAATATACATGCTAGAATGATGCATTATAAGGAGCTTATGTAACTGCACGTTGGACAAATTTGAAGACTGGGAGCGGACAATTAGGAGACATGATGACCTATAACACAAGAAATTAAACGGCTAGGATTCTCCAATTTCCATCACAATTATTTCATCAAATCAACATTTATAATAATAGTAATTATTATTATTATTATATTGATATGTAAATATTTCATAATAAATATTGTTTTATAAGTATATTAATGTGTGGATCTTGTTAACGAGTGAGTATTGACAGATGATTCACATAATATAATTATTATAATACCCACCGTACTTCTTTTGGTCAGAACCCACTGAATTTAATCACTATAAATATTAGGTACCTAATCCATCCAATCTAAAATTATGCCAAAGTTAAAAAGCCCCACTTCATTTAAAATGTAGGGCAAAAATATGATGCTACCATTATATTTCCAATCTTGCCCTTCATATATATATACACATATATTGCACTAGACAGTTGGTGTGGTATATATTAATTCTAGTTGAATACTTTATTATGGACGATTGGACATTAACTTAAACGAAGGACAAACTTAAATATACGTACATATTTGTACGAGGTTAAGGATACCAGCTAGCATTTCAGCATTTCTTATGAAATGTGAAGTAGTTAAACTTTATTCACAAGCAGGACACAATACTAATTTGCAGGTCCTGAATAATTACTTTTCATAATTAGCTTCTCCATTTTTTCTCATTACCGACCATAACTTGCCCTGTTAAACCCCAAGTCAACCAGCAAGTAATCGGGAAAAAAAAAAAGCCCAAGTCAACCAAATTTAGCAGGAAAATGTTGGCGGGTAGGTGAGTGCCCAAAATTTTGACTAGGTACAAGCCTCGGGTTGAACACTAAACGATATGATTTCATTTTGTTAAAGCCGAGCCAGCTCATAACATCAATGACTTTGTGGCCTCATGCCATAGAAGTTTCTTATTAGTAGAAGAGTTTCTGGGTTTAATCCCACAGTTTCTGGATTCAATCCCACTTAAGCCGTTAGAGTTAATCTTCTAATTCGGGAAAAAAAAGGGAAATTCAGCTCATAAACTCACAATGCTTTTGATTATTACCTTATTTTGGAGTTATAGTAGCTAGCAGCATGTCAATACATGATAATTATGGGTATAAAATGCAATCGTTACGTTAGTTAATTACCTTGACAAAACAAATCAATATAATACCACCTCTAGTCTTCAAATGTATTAATTAGAACTACTATTATTACAAGGACTATCTTAAAAAAATAAATAAATATCAGAGACAAAGTAGATCAAAATTTTATATATATGACCAAAATAAAAATCAAATGAAATTTTATATTAAAGACCAGATATGGTATCATAATTTTCACATTTGACGAAAATCCATCTTCAATGCATCCACTTTTAATTTAGTGAGCATCAGGGAAGAAATTAATGATTAATTGACGCACCTTTAGTATATAATTAATAATGTAGCAATTATTTAAAAAAAAATGTTACATGAATTGCGTATTGTTTCACATATGAGAGCCATCAATTTCCTACCATATGAGGCTCTTAACAATAATGAGAATGATCAGAAGATGAAAACTTAGAATTGGACTCATAATAAGTAACATCAAAATAAAAGAAACAGACATGCAAACATGTGTCACTGCTACAACAAAGGCTTCCAGAACTGACGTAAAAAGTGGCTGATGCGGCCCCAAAAATGGGTAGCTAGAGTGAAGGCGGAGGGGATCTGAAAGATGGAAGCCTATGAATAGAGCCATTGGGTGCAGGTGGTCGTCTTGGCAATGAACCAGCCAGCTTTACTCATGGTCGTCATCCCTGCACTAGCGTTGGGGCACTGCAACAATAAAATGGAGGCAATGATCAAAACAGCCATCACAAAACGGTACAGAGAAGGCACACCCATGTATAGATCTCTATTCTTAGTAGCTAACTAAATATACATAGCTATTTGCTTCTTGGTGTGTGTAAATTTATAGACTTCTCAAAGCATAAATATATACATATTTTCACAGACTTGGATTTAAATATTCAGTGGTGAACTTGTGCATAATTTCAACCATCCATAGGTAACTTGGCAGAAAAAGTTCTTTTAATTTGTCTGCTGCAACACGCTTTATTATATTATATTGATCGCTTGTTGCATTATTTTCCTTCCTTGCCAACACTGCGTGCTGTGTTTATCATAAAAATGAAGTCAGGTCAAACAATGTTGGCAGACAAGTGGGCATGTAGCTAGGCCTAACCTTTAATTAAGTCCCAGAGATTTACATATAACGCTACCTCGCTGAATATAGCATCTAAATAAAAGACTCATTTTGATCCTTCCAAGTATAAAATCTTAACATCTACTTTGCTTTCTAAATTTATAATTGTTTGTCCAGACTATCTCCATTGATTACACAAATTAAGGAGGGTCCTGATCAATAGGTAATTTCAACACACATGGTTAATAATTAATCTAACTATATATATTATCTGTAAATTAGTTGTCTAACTTTTACGTTAAGGATATGAGGTATTATAATACCTCATATCCTATGTAATTTATTTTCTTAAAATTTGAGACGGAATTTGCTACGGAAACAAATTCCGTCGCTAATTTCTGTCGCTAATTCATCAGAAAATCCGTCAATAAATATTTAGCGATGGAATTAGCGATGGAATCTTTTTTCGTCAGAAAATTCCGTTGCTAATCCGTCAAAAAAATTAACGACGGAAATTCTGTTGCAATTCTGTTAGAAATTAGTAACAGAATTTGTTTCTGTCGCAAATTCCGTCTCAAATTTTAAGAAAATAAATTACATAAGATATATATACAAGTAGGAAAATACTGTTTATCATAATCTATTTAAATTATTTAATTTTTTATATAGAATAATTTATTAGATTTTATTATAGTAGTTATTTTTTGAATAACAAGATTTTTTGACTAATTGTAAATGATTTTCTTTAAATATATAAAACACATATACATAATATAATATAATGTAATATAATATATATAATTAAATTGTATATCTTATCAATGTTAATTAAAAATAAATTTAAAAAATATTTATAAAAAATTATTTATGATTTAAAATTCAAAATTAGTGTCGTTAGAAATTAAAATTATATTAAAAATATTTTTTTAAAAATAAAACATTATAAAAATAGTAAAACAAATATTTAAAAATTATTTTTTCATTAAAATAGTTATGATTAAAATTATCATATAGTATATTTTTAGTTTTTAATAATATATGTATATATAATTGTTTGTGTAAAATAATATTATATATATATATATATATTTAATTTTACATAATAAGTCAACAGATTCATTGCAGCTCAACTGGTAAAGCCACACGTGTGCACGGAGGAGGTCCTAGGTTCAAGCCATAGAGAAGTTACTTTGAGGAGGGAATTATGTGGTGGTGACACGTGACAGGCGGAGGCGAGGTGGCAGGCACACGTGGCAATTGGTAGAGGTGCCACGTGGCATTTTATTTTATTTTTTAAAAAATCAAGTTAGCGACGGAATTTGTCCGTCGCTAATTTGCGACGGAAATTTCTATCAAGAATTAGCGACAGATTAGCGACGAAAAAATTCCGTCAGTAATTAGCGACGGAATTTTAATTCCATTGCTAATCAATGAGCGACAAAGGTATTAGTGACAGAACAAATTCTGTCGCTAATTCTGTTGCTAATCCGTTTCCGTCACTAATCCGTCACTAATTTTGTTGCTAAATAAAAAATTCAGTCGCTAAAAGTATGTTTTTTTGTAGTGACTCTCGTACACAATATTTAATGAGTTTACTTTCGGTGTGGCTTTTTCTGTGTAAAAGTTAAAAGAAAGAAAACAAAGTTATTCAACAGAAAGACAGATTCGATCTGAACACAAACTACCCTTGAAAATTTCTGGATGGGCTCCCTTTGGGATAAAAACCGACAATATTTAGTTACCCTGTATTTGGTATGAGAAAATTGGAAACAAGAAAAGGGAGGAAAAATTTTAATGAGTTTGATTTAAAAAGTTAGAGAAGTTGGACTATAAAATTTTAATAAAGAGAATATCTAAGATAAAAAAATACGAAAAATTAATTAAAAGCTTTTAACCCCATTTTATTAATTTTTTAAATCAAGTTCG